TCCTAAAATCATAGGATGACTAATGTATACTAAGCTAAGGTTGTCAAAAACGGTGTCGACGAAATTGTTTTTATTTAAAATATTGTTTGTTGTTTCAAAAAAAGCAACTAAAATAACTTTTAGTTGTTTAAACTTCAAATGCAGTCAGTTGTTTGACTATTTATTTTTTTAATCTAATTTTGTGACAAGTTACCGTATTGATTGTACCTTAATTCTTATAGATTGATAACATTGTATTTAAATAATTCTTTTTTCATTCGAAGACTTAAACTCAAGGTTCGTTTTTGATGCAAAGTCAGACTAAAAGTTATTACTCATTAACACCTGTCCTATTAAAGCCTTAATCCCACTGCTTCAACTTCCAAATAAGTACTTTGTCAATCATTATTCATGAAATACATATTTAGCCAAAGTTTATTTGTTTTCTCAATGAACCGTTGTAAGCTATTCACACCAAAGTCCTTTCAACAAATCTAAATTATTGCTTCATTTCTCAATACACTATAGTTACTTCGTTGGGGTTTGCCTTTTGTATGTCGTTAAATGCAATTCAGTCAGTTGAGTTCGTCCTATGGGTCGTATTCGTCGATTTTATTGCAATTAGTCTTCTCCAGGCAACATTCTTTTGGATTATTACGAATCATTTCTTCCTTGATTCATCCAAAAGTCGTCCACAACTCAATGGATTGGGACCTTTTGTTGAAACCGATCCGGAAGTTGAATGGGGATACGCCTTTGATGTTCATTTAAATGGATTTTTTCCGGCATTGTGCATTTTGCACTTGTTACAGTTACCTTTTCTGTACAGTAGGTTTGCTAACTTCAAAATTCTTTTGATTTTATTTGTTCACAATACGCAATTTCTCGACACTATACACATAACCAATCAGATCACTATATATATTTATAATTAGTTTTTGAGATTAAAAACCAGAGCCTGATTGCATCACGCCTTATCAACAGTTGATAACTCAACGGTTTATTGCTATTTTTGTTAAGTTGTTCTCAACCTCCTAACATACTCCTTTGTTAGCCCCATTTGATAGAGGTTTAGTTTAATCGACCAACTTTTTTTATTTTGTACTTTATGCCTTATCGTTCGCACTAATTACTTGACTACACCGTGCTCAGAAAGTGTTTAAAAGACATTTAAAATCAAATAGTAGTGACTTGTACGTGCACTCTCCTACGAAACGGCATTTCGCACCAACCACAAAGTATTACATAGTCGACTACATCAGAATACTATTTGATGTACTCACTTTTCCGACTTAGCAACTTGTAAATAACTGTACATAACATATTATTTCAAATTTGGCTGTATAGAAATGCCACAAATGCATCAAAATTCATAATAATCGAAACACTATCCTGTCGATAAGTATACATACGCATATACCATACAATATCAACATGAAGAGCAAGTGGCCATATCTTATCACTATTTCAATTTCTTCAACAGATTAGAAAACAATAAATTATTGTCACATATTTCTTCCAATATTTTTGACTTAAATCGTTTTTTCTCTAAATATCTAGTTATTCTCCAAAACTGGTTCATCGGGAGGTTACTGGGTAATACTTTTTGGTTGATGAGTTTCACTTACTACACCTATATCACATTCCTGGGTTACCGTAGTAAGTTCACATAGCATTTTTACCTGTATTTAGCCAATCATTTCTTGATATTTTTTATTACGATTGTGTGCAACTACCTTAGAAAAATAGAATTACTGTTATATTTCATTTTATCGTAACTGCTAACCGTGAAGTTAGTTATCCGTGGTCGGTTAGGTGAATTAATGAATTCGTTATTTATGGTAGAATGTACAAAAATTTTGTAAGTAAAAATGTTCCGATTTTTCAGTATGCGTACTTGACTTTCAGCCACTCGATATAGACCATTATAGTTTTATAGAAAAGGGAAACAACAGAACAAGGATATCGTTAAGATAAATAGGGAAAAGAATAAAAGTAAACAAGTTGGGGATGAAATGTCCAGATCTTAACTGGTTAGATATACTGTGGTCAATTCTAAAGTTATTAATAGATAGGCTGTGAATAGTAGACATATTTGATAAAGTTCGTTCGTTGTTGAGTCTCTCATACGGTGAATATCTGAAATGGCCTTAAGCATACTTGCTCCCATCCAGATGTTTATTGAAGATTGTTTAGGATGGATATCATGTTTGACACCAAATATCGGGTATTGGATGTTACAGTCACAATAACAAATAACATCTCTTGTTACATTTCAGCTTTACCGTTTCTCAAGCGTACAACAGTTCTGTTGTGGCCAGTAACAGCTGCTATCGTAATTTACGTGGTATCGCTTATCATGAAATGGAATTTCACACTTTTTTTATGTCATTTCTACCAGTTCCGTTTATTTTAGTGAATGATTTCAAATGTGTTAACTGTGATACGAATTAAAGAGAAATACTATGTTCTCTGATTGTAAATATTTTTAAAAAGTGATGAGCTATAATTCCACGTGTTCTAATACTTGATTATGTATAGTTGATAGTTGTTTGCTGTTAATATTTATTCACGCATATCTGGACTGGATACTTTTGCATAATTTATTTTATTTTAACATTACAAAGATACTGAATTAATAAATATTTATTAATGATCATGCAGTATATTTTTCCGTAATGTCTGATGAGAAATATGCAGTTAAATAGTGATTTAAAAGCAATCCACAACAAAGTTAATAATAGCAAAATTCTCTGCAACTCAAAATCCGAGGCTTGAAGAGTGCCCTGAAAGAAATGTATTAAGTTAACGCCAAGTGATCTCTAGATAGTACGTAGTGATCAACTGTCAGCATTAATTTAAGAATGTTTCCTAATAAAAATAATAAAGCTAAGAAGGTGGAAGAGTTTTTTTTAGGTCGGAGTGTAATTAGAAAATTTTACAAAACACCAGCGTTGTTGGGAAATCAACGTAAAGTAATCTGACATTAAAAATCGGAAATCATAGTTGTAAGAGGAAATATGCAAAGTACGTTTCTACTTAGACCTTACCATTCGTTGGCTACATCGTTTGCAGTGTGTACATACAAATGGGGACATTTAAACAAGATACTCCGTACTTCTAAATAACATCGAGTGAACTTTCTAAAAGCTTGGGATGACCAAAGGAAACTAGACACTTAGGAATTGAGTTTCTAGTTGTTAAGTGATTCATTTTATTGATATACTCACCAAAATGACATATATTCTAGCGTTATCATCATCTATGGCAAGGAGGGTCCTAGTTTAAGTTTATCACCGAGTCAAGTGCATATATGCTAGTATGAGTATTGAAAGGCCCACTTCGTCAAACGTCAAGGGATTACGTCTTTGCCGAAAAACAGCACATAAATAGATAGCCTAAAATAAGCCAGGCCAAATGCATAACTAAATTTTACATGTACGTTCACTAAGAAGAATGGATGGAAAGATTCATTTTGTTTCTGCTGACGCTCCATATTTTTCCATTGCTTGACTATCCATGTATTATTTCTTGGTATCTTGAGTGGTTTTATCTATGATATCATTTTAAAGCATGTACGTTTTACGACTATGGTAACAACACCACTAACTTTCATGTTTTTATAGAAATAGTGACATACACTATGCGGATTTACCTACTTACAGCAAATCAATACTGTTTAAGCAGATTACATGAGCTTCGAGATTAAAATCCCGACGAACTATCGAATTCTCCATTTGCATTAACACTTCAAAATAACTAATTAAGTCTTGATAACCTTGTTAATAACGCAACTCTGTATTTAAGTATACACTATAATGTATAAACTGATTATAAGTACGTTTGTACAGCATTAGTAAATGGCATCGTCGAGAGAGGTTTTTTTATTGAATCGTTTTAAGTTTGCTTAATGGTTTCTTTTATTCAGTAGAAAAGTATATATCTCCCGAGCCCTCAAATGCCCTGGTACGGCCGAGAGTGGGGTGAGTCCGCTCTCACATGGCCACGCGTATATAGCCTCTTCCAGGGAAGTTCTACTCACTGCCTTCTCGTGGCGGGGGTGTTGTTTACGAAATTGATAAAACGAAAAGCGAATGTCCGGCGCTTTAAGCGGGTTGGTGGACATGGAGAGTTCACCTAGGGGAGTTGGAAAACCCTGATTCCAAACCAATGGTGCCTATGGGCTCCAGTATCCTGAAGGGACAAGTGGCGTATGAACAAATCGTTGGTCACCGGCTACCATGAGGATGCATCTCCTTACGTTGTTCCACTGCCTTGTGAATCAGACCTTCAGGTCGAAGGCTCCGGGTGTGGCCCCCTAAGAAAACCATCTGCTTCGGTTTGGGTACCCGGGCAGTATCATAAACCTCACACATATCAAATGAGATCTGTGTGGCGCATATGTATTTGGTGCCTCCTTGTACCAATATCTATGTGTTAAAATTAATACATCTTCCGAACGACATTTATTATACTTTTATCCAATCCAAACTGCCTATTAACTCATCTGCTTTTAGGTTAGCATATTATGTTAGTGATGAGCTTAACTGTTGTCTGTCTATTCATGACGCGTTACAGACAAATTAGTCATTAAGTTGATTGATGACTATGCAACTCAGTGATCAAGTACAGATCAGTATACTTGATATCTTTTAGAACATTATGTGGGAGCTAGTGATATTGCCTGGCTGCTCAGTTTGAGATAGATAGATAGAAGGGAACTTAAATTTGCAACTTAGTAACTGGGAGACCAAGTCAACCATTATCATTCTTTTAATCTCACCCCCTAAACTTTATAAATATTGTCACTAGGAGTTCCTCCAATGTTTGGTCCCGTAGGTACATGTGTTAAATTGATAGTTTTTTAAAAAAACTTGTAGTATAACACCCAAGATTGTTGCTCTTGTTAATTCTACTAATCATGTGACTGATTCAGTGAGACTTCGCATCATATATATAGATAGTGACATATCTAATTAAAATTGGATAATTAGTCCAAGGCAAAGAAAGAAGAAATATTTAACAAAAGAACAACTTTATGTACAGTCGCCAATTGTTTTGCTAAAATCAATGTGGTGCTCTATTTGACTTGAGATCCGGTAATCTTACGGGTGTCACCAGTTCAGCTACTATGTTCAATTCAGATTTGTTTTGAGTATTTTCAACCTTTGAACATTTACATCCCAAATATTGGAAAAACTGAGTTAACCTAAGAGACAAAAAAATAAATCCCCATAAAAGTGTCTAACTAAATACTTAGATATAACAGAGATAAACGTGATAACAAGAATGACATCCTACACATCACTCAACGATTCCCAACAAGAATCATAAAATATTCTGAACAATCTGAAACCAAATAGCACTAGTAAATAATAGAGATGACTTCGTCCACAAATATAATGTGTATCTAGAGAAGAAATTGTAAGTCCTGGGGATTACGTTATAAGATGAGAAACCTGACGATTTGTCCGTAAAATTCTTGTCTACAACAGAAGTGTGATATTACCCGTGAACCAATCTGAAACCTTCAACATTATTACCAAATCAGTGACTTTTAAGTAATATCGTTCGCGAAGTCAAAACACTGGAATGAAATGTAGCAGTCATTCATGATGAGAAGACGAGTCGACCAGGCTATCTATGACCGTAAAAGAAAACTGAAGCAAAAACTATTATTTGTTATCACATGAATATCTAATGTAGGGCAATGGATGCAAAGAAACGAAGTAAAAAAACAGTCCTCAGAGCAGTAAATCGGATGTGCACTATATGAACAAATCCGGATTTACGTTAAAATTTTCGATCTAAGTTGACAGACATGACACACTAGTGAAATACAGTCAAAAAGGGATCTAAATTATCGCCCCACAACAAAATAGAAAATGCATTGGTCAAGAATCGCTCCTCACCACATTTATTAGATAGTCGATTTATGAGATATATATCATCTGCTATCACAATTGACAAACTGTATACAAAGTGAAGCACCTAGTGTCGAAGGAAAGTGGTCTTTATTTGTAAAAGGTATCTTAGGATCTCAAGTATATAATACACTCAAAGTTAACTAAGCCTTATACTATAAAGATAGTTATGGGTTAAAGTTGCCATCTGAAAATAAGGTTTGACTTGATAGCACCAAATGTCTTCATTATTTTCGCACTTGATATCTTCATACTGCTGATGGAATGTAGTATACCTGGTGAAGACTCCACCTGTATGGGCTCTGAGAAAAACGGCGAAGAGATGAGCTATCCTAAAAATGGTGGATCTCATGATTCATCAGCTGACTTGCATGATACAAATACATAGCAATTACGTGAATAATATGGAAAACAATTAGCTTCTATGTGTATAGTAGTGAAATGCAATACTAACCTTTCACGTCCGATTTTGAAGTCTACAGTCAAACTATCAACCATCGTCTTGAAATTGTCACAATGAAGTATCAGGACTAACATGTGCGTAATCAATTTATCACGAAGCATTGGTGACATTGCGCTAAAGTATTACAAACAAAATCAGAATTCATAAATGACAAACAAAAATGAAGTAAGTATCTACGACTAGAGTGAAACACCAGAAAGTCCATTTATTCTGGTATTTGTTGTTTTGACCTTGGTTAGGAACAATCACAGACCAATGTTACAATATTTGAATCAGTTAGCCAAACATTTTTGAGGAAAGTTATCAACTTTATACCATGAACGAAGTTATACTTAATTACTGCTAGGTCTCCAAAGTAGATAGGCATACATCTGTTGGTATAGTGATTAATAGTGGTGTTAATAATGAATTGGCAGGGGCTTTTTCTACTGTTGGTAGTGAACCCCAGTGAATACATTGGTTTATAGCAATAAAGGGCTGTCTAAAATTCTGGAGAATGTACAGGGGATTCGCCTAGTTTTAAAAAGAAAAGATATTTCCGTAGGATAAAATGAATTTGATGTATTTGATAGGTTGGTGTACAGATTCTGCCACTTTTGCAATTTAGCGTTAGAAATTTTTCTATCTTCTATGTTACATGGAAGTGGGGATGAATACTAAAATAGAAGTTTGGAAAACTGTTAATGACCACTGTTAGGGTCTTTGAAGTCGTAAAGGGTGATATTTATTTTCTTTAAACAAATAAACATTAGTACAAGGAGGCACCAAATACCAATCCGCCACACTTCGCCATTCGATTTGTGTAAGGGTTGGGATACTGCCCGGTCGCTCAGAACAAAGCAGGGGTTTTTATTAGGAGGACACTTCCCAAGCCGTTGACCTAGAAGTCTAGTCCACAGGTCAGTGGAGCAACGTAAGGAGATTCGGTCCCACAGTAGCCGGTGACCAACAGTAAGTTCATACGCCATTTGTTCCTTTAGGATCCTGGAGCCCATGTGCACCATTGGTTTGGAGTTAGGGTTTTCCAACTCCCCCAGGTGGGTCCTCCACAGTAATAGTTTTCAATTAAAGGATTTTCAAAGGAATGACAATTATTCACGATATTAATCACAGGAATCAAAGCGTAATAGTAGGTTAGAAGGATTCCTTACCAAATGTTTTACCGAAATACATTTTTAGACACACAAACATATCTTGGAGGATTTCCCACGGACCATAGACAAACTCAAGTTTACATGTACTTCATTTTATATTTAGTAGTTTAACTACCGTACAACAAAGATAATTATTATTGAACTGTCACAATCTCATCAAAACCTATGCAGTTTAAAACAGTTAACGAACATGAATCATTAAAGTAGTGAGGAAAATTTACATACCGTACTTTTAGACGTCCCATACCATTCCGACTAACTGATGCTGTAAACTGAGTAAGAAGATATTTGTTAACAGTATTTGGTGTATCTGGAAGTGGGACCTTGCGCATTAGGTCTCGGTTAGGCAAGTGAAACAAAGCAAACATGTGACTGAGAAACACCAAACCGGTAACAAGTTTTGTATAACCTTCAGACTTAGTTGTACACAAGTTATACAGCTTATTCCTTATCCACTGAGGATAAATACTCTTATTTATTAGAGTATCAATCGAATTGACATCAACAGATATAATACGTTGTACCTCCGAATTTAAGGCTTCCGAAATTCTAGGAGGAACTAATTTTTCATAAGGATAAACATCCGCAGGACAAGAAGCTTTCAAGACTATTGGTGGAAGAAGGCGGAGACGTTCATCGGTTTGAGAGTTAGAACAATCCATTTCGTTGTCAGCTAAATAAAGTGACAAAAATAGTTTTATGACATATTTCAGTGTAAAACATTAGGGCTAAGTAACAATGAACTTAGGAAAGCCTTTATATATGTATTTTTACGTGAGGCAAATGTATAGATTTCACCAAAGCAATTTTTATGTTACGTTACCCTTTCTAAGTCGAGAAAGGACTAAACATAGGATGAGTCAAAATAATCGGAACTAACATATTTTAAATGTTGGTAAACTTCAGATATATAAACAAGATAATTACAAGAAGGGAAGGGTTTACTAGGCCAAGATACAATAAGGATAAATTTAAATGACATGACATTTTATTATTGTCAACATCTTAAGAAAAATGAGTAATCCAAGTTCTGACAGTGAAATACATTTTACTTTTTCAACCAACGGTCTAATTATTAAGTGAATCGGATCAACCAAAAAATTAACGAGGAGCGTTACATTACCAAATTGGATGACTCATTACGCTATCCAGAAATCATATGAATAGCGTAGTCAAAAGATGGAGAGCAACTGGAACATGCTACCCAATACTGATTGAAACCTGAATTTCTTAACCAATAAACTATCACTCCATGCTGAAGATAAAAGAACTGCACATTCAAAACATGTTTGAAATTAAAAGGTAAAATCAACTATTTTCATGGCGTCAATGAAAAACTCATCAGTAATCAATAGGTTTTCACTCCCGTTACTCACGACGTAAATATATATGTTACAGATCGTAGCTAACGCTTATTGAAAAATTCACGTACAGTTAAACGGCTACGAAAATCGGACCGAGAGGTTTTATCCGAGTTAGTTAATCCTAGATCAATGACGCAACTTGCTCACTAGGTGCAAAATTTTATACTTAGCTTCATGCTTTAAAAACAATAAGTGTAAGCCTATTCCCGAATTTAGTTCGAATACTAAATTCAGCACTAATTACTATCAAATAAAAAGTTTCGTAAATATATAACCGGAAATAACGTTAAAAATCTAGTTTGGCAGAAAGTAATAAAACAAGTCTTACGATTATTCGAATTGGCTTCGTTATCATATTTTAATTTGGTTTGACCATGCATAGCTCGATCGATCACCTGAGCATTGGTCACCGAATTCTTTTGAGTTTGATTTCTTTCCATTTCACGTAAAGCACGTTGTTTTTTGACAGAACCGAAAGCATTGATGAGAGTGGCTCTCTGCAAAGCAAAATGAGAGTAGGTTAGTTGTGCCGGGGTTTGATTCATATAAAATAAAAAAACAATTTTAACTGACAATTCAAAATCCGGAGGATATATAAAAGCGATTTTGTATTTTAAACCTATTAGTCATATTCATTGATTCATAAGCATTTCTTGACATAATGCAGGCAATTTAACTGATAACTTAAATTAATTCTATATATTTACCGGATATAAGATTTTAGACTAATCTGATTTGCACATAATTTCCCAATATCAATAGACCTTAGAAGAGCAAGAAGAAAATTCAGACTAATTATTGAAAAGAAACAATCAAAGAATGAGTTTGGATTCACAGTCAAATACATCTCCTTATGTTCAACTGAAGGTAGCATCTTCCAAGTTAAACTAGTTATATTACTTGATAATTGAAATATGAACAGAATAAACAATTTTTTGACTTACATCAGCTTTCACTGAATTTGGGACCTCAATTACGTCATCTGAAAGCAACATCAGTAAAAACTATAACATACCATCAAAGCAAGGCTCAAGGAACTCCGGCTTTTTGTGAATAACTTCAACGCTTTTTGTTCGTTTGTTGTAAATTATAGTAGCATAACTACATAAAGAAATGAATTTCCTCGTTACTCAAGTAAATTTAAATCATATGAAGTATAAGAGCGATTATTAGACTTGGGATGCTTTAAGTAGATTCCGAAGATCAACTCTGTCAAACATGACAGTCAGTTCCGTCTGTACTTCTCAATATTCACTATGAAAATTATCACACATCATTAGATAGTAGGATTAATCAATAACTGACTGACTTGATTAAAATGTGGATTAAAGATACTGCAATTCTCACTGTGGAACATTTTGAAACAGCAACATCAAAGCCATAAATACCATCACAAGAAAAATAAGAAAAGAGCAAGAAATGCCTATATTCTAGAATCGTAATCAGTAGGTAATAATTCAGGGCACCCGAAGTCTTTCACTTCTGTAAATTCGTAAAGTCAGCTTACATCTGATCGAACAAAAAATATTAACGTTTGCTAACCTTAACAAATCGCATTAAGTTTGCTAATTTCTGGAAAGCATAGTAAAACACAGAAATAAAGTAACTGTACACAAAAATATGTGAGAAACTAACGTACATTATCGAATGGATGATTAGCTATAGATTTATTAATTTGTACACATAATGGGAAAACTCAGTAAAACGATACACTAAGGAACGTATCATAAAGAAGGAACATCATGTTTTTAAACTAGGTTCCTAATAAGGAACGTCACTAGAAATAGTTAGTAATCTTTAATCTTAAACTAATTGTGCATGAATTTCAAATTTCTGAAAGAATAAATGATGTGTAAATCTACAGAAGTCGCCTGCTACCATAATAATAAATCTGACCTTGTCCCAATGCTCTCCAAACAAGATTTTTACACTAAAAGATAACGGGCAACCTACAAAAAAAAGCTATTTAGACCACTCTGGGAGAAGTATTGAAATTTTTAAACAAATCAGCGATATAAACAGCACGTACGAACAAGCTCCAGGTTATTAAAACATAATAATTTAGGAGTATAAACTTTGACCAAAAATCACAATAACTACTATTATCTTAAAATTATTACAAACCCATGATTCAAATTTAAAATAGTCACCACATATAATGAAAAAAACTCTTACTTAGAATCCCTCAAAGGAGACTTTAACTTGCTACTGTAAAGCACATTACCGATTTGACAGCTCTAGGAATACAAATAAAGTTAATATTAACTGAATAAGTACCACAATGGACTTTTCGACATTCTGGGGGCATACATCGACATGTGCTGGTAAAACATCTGTAACCGTCATATCACTTGTTCCTAGTGAAAAAGGTGCTATTCAATGTTAGAAAAAAACACTATACTCTTACCTGGGAAAAAATTCATTGGTTCCATTTATAGTACTTTATAATGTTCGGAAGACAATGCAACCTAATAAGTGTCAGATGGGTCGAAAGAAAGTTTGGTCCACGGACAAAAATAGAAATATATTCCCCTCAATACTGTATGTGATATTTAGCAGTAAATTTTATAGTAATAAGTGCTGTCTTAATTCCATTTACATCAATATCCTAAAAGCAATAACAGAGATGTATTTGAATATCCCGCTGATTTTTATTAAGTCTTATCAAAAACCTAATGTGATAGAGTATTTGTAGCATTGAGAAGAGCATTTGGTAAAGCTAAAATTAGGAACCAAAGTCAGCCACCTGAACCGTACAAGCCAAGCTTAGCTGGAGCTCATAAAATACAACAATCAGATCTCATATATGACGAACAAGTTGTCTTTCATGAGAGCGCGTGGTTGCTTAGCCTTTGTAGTTACCTTGTATATTGTGGCTCATACACAAAGTTGTTTATTTGGAATCCATTCTAGATCTAAAACTTATCAACAAGAAATGTTTCTCGGTAGCGAAACATCGATATCTCGGGCGTTGTAACCTACAGACTGAGTATTCGAAAAGCCTGGAAACATGGTTTGACTAAAATAATGTGTGAACCTTGGAAGTATCATCACTTATTCCAAAGAAATGTGAGGTCTAGTAAAAAGACATGAATCAAGTAAATAGTTTTGATCATATTACAACCCCGGTTAATTATATTTCTCGAGCAGTGTTAACAGTTTTTGAAGTAAAATATACGTGAGCGGAAGCGAAAGAACACTAGATATACTAGAAAACATTACAATAAGCACGAAGAAGCTAATCACGAGTTTTTGTTACAGTAACGCAATAGCCAAATAACGCGCCCACAGGTGTTCAAATGGTTCAAATGGTTGTGGACGGAATAGAAGAAGCTTTCGCTTAACAGGCTTCCGTGTCTAGTAGCAGAGGATCACCAAATCCTCCAGGCAGGAACCTAGGTATGTTAACAAAAAAAGAGGAAAAGAAATTGGTAAATCATAGTGTGATGCTGTCCTTGGTCCTTAAGAATAGGTCAAGTTGCCTCTTGAAGGACTCCTGAGAAGTCGCTTGGACTAGCTCGGCCGGAAGCGAATTCCAGCATTTGACAACTCTTAAGGAGTAGAAGTTGTGTCTACATTCCGTCTTGCTATGTTGTGTTTCCAGTTTCTGGGTGTTACCCCTTAGGTTATTATTCGAACTAAGCTTAAGTAGGTGTTTAAGAGGATGTCCAGAAGTGTTAAGAATACCATAAGCCATTAATAAGTCACCTCTAAGACGCCTATACTCTAATGGGTAAAGGTCTAGTGAATGGAGGCGTTCTTCGTAAGGTTTAGATTTGAGTCCTCGAACTGATTTCGTGGCTCGACGTTAGATACGCTCCAAAGTGACCTTGTCCTTTTGGAGTGAGGGAGGGAGTACTATGTTTCCGTACTCTAAATGGGGACGGATGAAACTATTGAAGATTGTATGGAAAGTTCGTCCGTCAAACTGTCCAAAAATGCGCTTCAACGTTACCAGTGCAAGGTTTGCTCGGAAGGCATTTTTGTCACAGTTAGCGTTAGACTTTAAATCATGGGGCACCAGGACTCCCAAATCTTTTTCGACTTGGGATACTACTAGAGAAGAGTTTCCTAAGTTGTAACTGTAGTTTGCAACATGTCGCAGGTGGACTACTTTACACTTTGAAGTGTTAAAGGTAAGTCCGTTATCGTCTGCCCAACTTTGAAGTCGAGTCAGATCCTTCTGAAGTGCCTGTATATCGTCTTTGTTGCGTATCTCTCTCCAAAGTTTCACGTCGTCGGCAAAAAGTAATAAGTCTGACGTTGCCTGTTGAGGATGATCATTTATGTAGATCAAAAAGAGAAGAGGCCCTAGTACTGAGCCCTGGGGGACCCCACTAGGACATTCCATAGCCTGAGATAAAGTGAAATAAACCCTAACCTTAAAGTGTCGATTTTTTAGGTATGAAGTAAGCCAATCGATTAGAGGTGGTTTGATGCTTAGTCGTTTGAGCTTATTCGTAAGACACAAGTGGTTAACCTTATCAAAAGCTTTTGAGAAATCAAGGTAAATGATATCAACCTTTCCCTGGCGATCGAGGATGCTTGTCCATCTGTCCACCGCAGTCAGCAGGTTGGTTATACAAGAGTGACCCTTCCTGAAACCATGCTGTTGGGGTGAGAAGAAATTTAATGACAGTAGATAGTCATTTAAACCGTCGCATATCAGGGACTCCATGAGTTTTGAAGGTAATGACAGAAGAGCCACCGGCCGCTAACTTGAAGGTTCATTGCGTCGACCTCCTTTGAAAATTGGTGTGATGTGAGCCAACTTCCAATTTTCCGGTAATTTGCCTCGGCTTAGCGAGTGTGAAAACATCACGCTAAGCGGCGTTGCCAGGATTGAGGCTGCCTCCCTCAGTATGGCAGGATGAACCATATCCGGGCCAGGAGAAGTATCTAATCTTAAGTGCTGCAATTTCCGGAACACCAAGTCAGCGCTTAGGTCTACTTCGGAAAGTCCTGTGGAATTGCAGATGAAACTGTCGTCAGTAAAGTTGATGTCAGCCGGTTGAAATGTTTGAGAGTAATGTGCCGCCAGAAGGTTAGCGGCGTCACCATCGTTGTTGGTCGGGCCGTTAAGACCTACCAGTTGAGAAACTCCTGTTTTGGCTTGACGAAGAGAGGCTGCATAGCGGAATAGGCTTCTAGGGTTAGAGGCAAATTTGTCCATAAGCTTTGTCTGGTACTGAAGCCTGTCTTCTCTTATAGCCTTCGTGCATGTGTTCCTTATATGTTTATATTGCCTATACGCTCCGTCGTTATCAGTTCGTTTGTATTCTGCCCAACAGTGCCTTTTGCGGCTTAGCAGGCGAAGGGTGTAAGATCCAAACTACGTTTGGACTGCTGGACAGCTGTCTGGAGGAGTTAGATACGCGCCCTCGCCCGATTGAAACCAAAACAAAGTAATTGGGTAAGATAGCGGTTCTATAAATTATCATAAATTTAAGTGTACATTATTACCTAAACAAATATAACCACTCAGCTATCCAACCAATAATTGTTCAATTGATCAAATCTAAATTACAATAAATAAGAAAGTTGATAAAGGATGCAAGAAAATTACCAATCACAACAAATAAAGGCTATTCTATCCCGTCTGGATAGACCACGTACAGATTCGTTCAAAAGGTAATAATTGGTCGCTCTATAACACAGTGTTTTCAATTCTGGAAGAGTGCTTCACTTCACAACCAAAATGCACAATTCCAGTCAACACAGGTCAAGCAATCAAAAGCAGGAACAAACCAAAATGGCTGCCGCCAAGACTGAGTGTAAAGTAAAACAACATAAGTGCAGTTCGGGTAGAAACATGGGGAATTAGTGAAGGTGTAGTAAAAACAAAAACCATAGTAAAATACAAATATTAACAATTCAAATGTAATCAAAAACTAACAATGTACAACTAAAGAGATCAATAGGAACTAAGCGCAAGTATGTACATGGAGGGATTTTCACAAACACACAAAACATTCAAAATGGATCTTACACCGGCCCCCAAAATCCCCCCATATCACACAAGCTGCCTTGATGCCTATGGTCATGGTTCATTATATAACATATCACACTACAGGAACGAGTAGGACTTACAACAGTACGCCTACTCGACCTACTTACATTGATACGCGAAGAATTAATTCGAGCCTTCCTGGAGGCATAATCTACGTATATCTCTTCTGACTAATCCACCGTTCGTACGAACAACCACTGTTCTAACTCTTCCGTCGTCATCTATTTTACAATCTTCAACTACTTCCAAGGGCCACTTTCCACGGGTCGATATGTCCGAAGCCACGATCACTACATCACCTTTCTGAAAATTGCGGTGTTCAACTAACCATTTTTGACGCTTCTGTAAAGACGGTAAATACTCTCTTAACCACCTTTTCCAAAACACATTAGCAAGATGATTAACCTGTTTCCATCGTTTGTCATATTTATCTCTGATGCTACCTTCTTCGACTATTCCGTCACATTCTCTCAATAATAACAGACTGTTTGGCGACAAGGCTAGTTGATCGTTAGCATCTTGGACGACTGGAGTTAAAGGTCGATCGTTCAATATCCTTTCAACTTCAATCAAATAAGTGCTTAAGGTCTCATCGGTTAAAGTCTGCTCTCTAGTTATCAACAATAACAGTCTGCGTATAGACCTAATCATCCTTTCCCAGACCCCACCCCTGTGGCTGGATGAGGGCGGGTTAAAATGCCACTGAATCTGTCTAGCTGACAGTTCCTTGTCTATCCTTTGCTGATTCAACTGTTGCACAAATTTCTTTAGTTCAGAGACCGCACCCACGAAAATTGACCCATTGTCACTGTAAATTTCTGCAGGTTTCCCTCTTCTTCCAGTAAAGCGTAACAAGGCCATTATAAACGAATCAGTATTCAAACTATATGTCATTTCAATATGTACTGCCCATGTTTGCAAACAAGTAAACATGTAGTGGCATTGGACAATAGCCACACAATCCACAAAGCTGTGAACACGAGACTACTCAGAAAATAAATATTCAATATTTAACGCCGAGAAATACCTAACAATGGAGAAGGCGCGAACAAGGAATTGAATGGACTGGAGTTGATCGAGTGGCATGGCTCGTCCATGCAGACGTGGTCCATCTCAGTGTTACTTTATATCTTCTATTCATATTAAATATATTGTTCTTTCTCTAGCCTAACCTTGTTCTACATCATGTATTGGTAATTGATACGATACAGTGAGTTGGTGTAGTCGATGGTGTGACTTCCACGTAAGATCTTATAGATTAGGCAGTTATATCATGACAAATCGACAAGTTTAAGATTACGTTTATTATTAGAGCAGTACTAATATCATAGTAGACCATAGTTCAACAAACACATATCCATACCCTTTTTCTAATGATCTTCCTATGTGTCCTTGTTCTTTAGGACAATGTCTAATTATCATTTCCGTCACTAAGTGTCGACTGGGTAAAATAACTGGATGTTTAAAAGCATTTGGGAAATCTGAGTATCTTAGTCGACCTCCAACGCAGAGTAACCTATCACCCATTATCAATGCTAAACCTTTCAGATCATCATGGCTTACTACTTTACTGCTGTTTTTAAATTCACTAAGTAATTCTCCATACACCTCTCTCTGAACCATCAATAAAATCTTACGCTTGGCAATCTCAAGCTCTTTGACCTTTAAACATCCTAGATGAACGGATCCTTCACAACTCGGTAAACGAAGTACCATCAGGAATTCGATGAACCTTCTAAACCAGGTTACAGCTCTGACTAATTTCAACCACTCGGAATAATAAAAGAGAACAGGTGTCTTGTTGTACTTTATACTACTCAAGTTAACCACAGCAGTTTTTCTAAACTCAATATCGTCAAGAGTAGGTTCCGGACAGTCAGTGATTGTTATATAAAATTCGCCATGCAATAAAGTAGGACATTTGAACCAAGATTCAAGATCGGTCATTTTTTGTATACTTCCTCTACATAATAATTCACTTATATGCTTAACGAAACTCTTTGCTTGATCACAAGTGGGAATGGATATCAAGCAATCATCAACATAGAAATTATTCTTGACATCATCTACAACATAACCATCATAACCGTCAGAGAATATTTGGGCCGTCTTATTCAGGGCAAGGTTCGCGCAAAATGGCGATGATGTGGCATCAAATGGATGGGATATCATTTGAAACTCGGATGATTCCCTCGACATGTCTCCCTCTTGCCACCACAGAAATCTTGAAGCTCCTCGATCAGACTCAGGGACCTTCACTTGCATGAACATTTCTTCAACATCTACAGGGATTGCAACTGCCTCCTTGCGAAAACTTATTAATATACACCTTAACTCAGCAGTGGTATCGAGTTCTTGATAAATCATATTTGGGGGAACCCCTGCAAACTGGGCGGCACAATCAAGGACCA